TGAATCAATTTTCATGTCTCCCGTTTCTTATTGAATGAACGTGATTTCGTCCGTTTATGCTATGTTAATATCAGCTAATTTGGGTTAATGAAGACGCCAAGACACCCCCAATTGCTAGAGTCGCCCCTCAAAGAGACTTCGTTATTTCATAGCACTCTCTTTAAGATCCAGAGATCGATTGATTCATTAAATGGCGCCGTGGGCTGAACAAACACAAACAGGTCCTATTAACGCAAATATTTTGTCATTATGGTTCTATAGCTTATCGTTGACGTCATGAGAGATGATCGTTGTAAAACCGCGCCCCCAACTAACAAAATTTACTAACATTCAATTCAACTTTGTTAGTATTCACCAACAGCTTCTTTTTAAAACAGACCTTGGTTCGTTGAAACGAAACGATGCTTGTTTAAAGGGCTGATATTTGTTTAAAGCAATCGCGACACCTTTGTCAAACGCACCACCTTAATTTCAATCAAAGAAATTTAGCAAGGTAACAGGGTAAGGGCCGAGAGGCAAATCACTCCCAGAAAATCTCGTACACTTTTTGCGAAAATCCTATTGTTTTATCTGAAAATCCCTGGAAATCCTTTTGTTTTAGGGAAAATCTCGTACGCTATTTGCAAGAGTGAATTTCCCCTCGGTAAAGGCAATCATGCCAGGCCGAAAATTGCTTATTGTTTGCAACCATCTATGCCTATGTGCAAAAGAGCCTCTGTCAAATAATATCCTTTTTAGAAAAATAAATGATTAATTTATGTGCAAAATCTGGGGCAAATTTGGGGTACTAGAAAATTTTGAAGTACGGGAGCAATGGCAAACAGAAATTAGTTCAGGGACAAGAGGTTCGGGCGTATCTTGAGGGGTAGGGTATGTTGTTTGAGGAGTTGTAAAAAAGAAGGCCACTGAAACAAGATACTTAGAAATTCAATCCGCTTGCTCCTAACAAACAAAGGGCATCTCCCAACAGCACTGGAACAGTTTCTAGGACACCATCACTGCATGGAATCCAGCAAATGATTTCTCCTAAATTTCAAGCAGGTCACTGAGAAAAACTGACCTCTATTGTGTGAGCAAAACCTCCAACCGCAAACGATAACCACATTAACTGGTTTCAGACTATTCAATCGCGAATACAACTAAACGATAATTGACACCTGTCGTTTGGGAAAATAGATAGTCGCAAACCATTTACTTAAATAAGACCAATTACGCAAATGAAAAAGACCCGTACAGAAACAATGCACCCACTGTAATACCGGCAGCGACATAAGGATACACTAAACAAACACCCAGTTACTGATGTAAGCCCCCTAAATCCAAGATGAATGCCATTGGAAGCTATGTACTACGCAATTGCAGGGAGCCATGATGCTTTCCATTCATTGATTTTGCCTTGCTACAATAAAGACATGGGATAATAAACCTTTCTCTTTCGTTATCTTTCAAGTTTTGAATATAATTTTCATAGGTACATTGATAGCAACAAATTGTAATTATGCTAAGGCCCAACTAGGCCTATGTACCTATATTATAAAAAATAAGCAAATTGTCATTTTTTGACTGAAATTTGAAGCAATTGCTAGAAATATGGTGATATTTCACTAAGTGGGATGATTGCTTCGCAGAACTGCTGGTGCCATGATGAATTTGACAACTCTCCAAATTAACCAGGCTTTTGACTGGAGAATGGCCAATCCACACATTAGTTGATGTAATAGGCTCCCAGGTACATAATTGATAAAAAGCTAATGAGCTGGCTGCTGTCACAAAACGTTTTCATTTTCCAAAAAGGATTTGTATTTGATCATGAAGTGAAAATTACAGGAATTCCAAAATGCATCCAGACAGTGATGTAAAGTAGGAGAGGGCCTATGGAAGCAAGCAAATATTCATCCAGGAACTGAAATCTTTTGCCAATAAATTTAGAGGGAGCCAAATGAGGTGCCAGCCAAATTGGCCCAGCTATCCTTGGTTGATGTCAACCTATAATGCTTTCTATGTAGCAAATGAGCCTGTTTCAATGGGATGCATATTTGGTACAATTAAGGATCGCCTAAAAACAGCTAGCTTATAAATCAATTAAGCTTCCATTTGCCTAAATACTTTCATTTCCATTAACTATATTCCTGTTCTGATATTGAAGCATCTGGAAACTTTGGAATCTCCTTACTGGCAAGTGGCAATTCACTTTTGGAAATTGCATACAAGATTTCCACCAACACAAAAGAATTTCTGCTGTTATCCTCATAAACAATAAAAGTTTCACCATAGTGTATGGGATTGCCATAGAATGATCTAGTTGTTTGTTTAATAGGAAATACTAGCCTAATTTGCTAAAGGGAACTTTAAAGTATTACAAACCATAAAAAATACTAGCAATTGGAGGGGGGGGGGGATTATTGAATCTCTTTTAATGGGGTTGTGCCATCATAGACATTAGAGAAACAGGGGCTTGGTGATCTAGCTGTTTGTTTGATAGGAAATACTAGCCTCATTTGCTAAAGGGAACTTTAAAGTATCACAAAGCAATGAAAAATGCCACCAATTAGGGGGGGGGGGGAAATTATTGAATCTCTTTTAATGGGGTTTTGTTATCATAGAATTTGGAGACACAGGGGCTGGGTGGGGTGCAGCCATCCTTATCAGGTAAAATTTGTTGCCTTTCACGCTTGATACAGGCAGTTCTATCTCAATACAGCATTTGGGCAAGATCAACACTAAGCCCCTACCCCAAACCGTTACCATTTGCTACAACCATGTTTACCACAGCTCTATACCTTAGTCTTAGGTAGAGTTCTTTCCCATCATTCACATCAGCAAATATAACTTGCATGCCGTACCAATGCACTCCAAGATAGTACATTAACAGAAGGCATGAAGGTTATTCTCCACGCTTTCAAACTTACTTTCATATCTTCTTAGTTACTTCCTAAACTTGAAATTTCATTTACAGTTTTGAGCATCATAAAAAATTTGTTAAAGACAAAGTTAATTTGTGGTAGCTTCTTGCACAGAAAAACTTATCAATAACAAGGGAAATATTATTTGAGCGGCATAAATCTTTAAACCCAGATGATTGCTAATGAACTGTTAATAAAAATGCAAGCCAATTTGAATTTTTTGAAGTGGAACTTTTCAAATGTGCCATGAGACACGTGCTGTGACAAGGGCATTTTTAAATGTCATGTGCTGTGACAAGGGCAACTTTAAATGGAGGTATTAAATTCTAAAAAAAGATGCATGCACAAGATGCTGAAAAGCAGGATATTTTTTAAGGAATCATTTTATCAGTTAATATTTACTTTGAAAGAACAATCAGCAGAAAATATATCTTATATGGTACAACAATGCATAGCATTGTGTAAATTAACAATAACTTAAAAATAAAGAAAAGTGTTCTTAGTTATTCTGTCTTATTACGGACATTTCTTGGTACTAGAAAAATTTTTTTGGGCACAATCTAGTCATTCATCAATTGTTGTTTTTCGCTGTTATCAGACTTCCATAAGGATATTTTGCAAATAAAATGTGCAGCTCATTAAAAATTGCATTACCCTATTCATCATCAGCTGTTAATAAAGGGGTGCAATCGTCTGGGGTATAAGGGTATTCAGGGGCTCCTGTTCTAAAGTTTTACCTACAAAAGATCTGTTTGTCTTTACAGTTGATCATCTCTCATTAAGTTTTAAGCATTTTTGACCATATTTTCTAGCATTTGTGACCATGACTGTCTTGCGGATTGAATTTTAATAAGGGAATATTTTCCAAGAATGCTTTCAACTTTATTTTCATAGAAACAAAAAGTGTAGGCCTTAAAGGAGAAAATATTTTCCAACAAACCTAAATAATTAATCAGCCCACAGCATTAATGGTTTCGAGAGAAGTTGGATTAGTGGAAGTTGTGACAAACTAACAAGTGTTGCAAAGGACTGTGGTTGAAATGAAATGCTGATCTCACTACTGTGTGAATGGAGAAACTTGAATGTTCAGACGAAAAATATCAGAGAACTATCTACTTTACTATCAAACAAAACTAGAAGTGGTCTTTTCTAATGTAGAATGCATTTTGTAGCCCATATAGCATATTGTATTTGACAGACAACCAAAAAGCAGTTTGTACGCACACTAATGAAGAATACAAACATTAAGTAAATAAAACTAAAAAAAGGCCCTTAACATTTATCCAGTAAATTTATTTTTTTCTTAGAGATTGGCCAACTCATTGGTTCTCTAAAAAATGGTGAAATATTTCTGTGGAAAAGGGTATTTCTTCTAAGGTCTCTAGAACTTTTTAAAAAAAATTGGCTAAAACCGGAGCTGGGCATATATGTAAATTTTATTAGATGTTTTGAGCAGCATCTTAAGATTTTTTCAAACCAGGTAACAAAAACAGCTAACAATTTCAATAAAAAATAATTAAGGTTTCAGAGTACTTCAAAAAGAATGTCATTTGAGCTTAGACAGAATGTCAAGTTGGTTAATTTTACATTTCTGAACAGTAATTGTTGAATGAAGAGTGACTTTATTGAGATCTAATTGATCAATGAAGAATGTCATGATGCTTGACATGGCCTACAAGAAACTTTCTGTGGGATTGTGGTAGAAAGACCATGGGATTCCGCGATTTTATATTTTGCCCTTGGGGCAAAGTAATATAAGTGCCATTATAATGTTGGTAAATAGAACAACTCAGACAGAAAAGCAGTTGAGATTTTTTACTTCAAGAAAAGAACAAACTACCTTGTATCTGCCATTTAAAAACCCAAGCAATGCCTTGAAATTCGAAATGCCACCAAAATCACCCTGATCGTTATTAAAATCGAATTTTCTTTAAAAGAAACGGGGCTTATACTGCATTAAAACACAGAGATGAATTTAAAATAAAAGGATCTTAAAATTGATCTTTGAAAGTCTGAACAAACGGATGTCTTATGCAAAAATCTAGGATCGATAACAAATAATTCCGAACAAGAAATCCCTCAAGTTAAAGACCTTACCTCCATTGGTTGTTGAATTACTTTCATGGGGCCAAAAAGCAGTTCACGTTTAGAGGCCTAAAACAAAGACATCAAAAGTTTTATGATCACCTGTTCGGTGTCAAAGAATAGACTATGGTCAAAGCAAATGCTATCGTAAATTCGCAACTGTACGATAAGCGGTAGTTTGTGATTTTAAGTACTGAGCTGCAAATGATACGACAAACTGGATTAAAAAACGCATAAGATCTATCGGTTAGTAATATAAAATCAGAAATAAATACAATTGCACATAAAACGAGTCAAGTTATGACTGGTTGCTAAATACTGGCTTGAACAATATACATAAACAAATTCTGTTTGACCTTCCTTCCAATCGGCCATATCGTGCTCATAATTAATCACAGGTATAAATTTACTCTGCCTTTCTGCGACTAAATTCGAAAATATTTCAGGATGATAACATGAAAGAAATTAAGTACAGGAAAGCATTGCATCGAATTCATGGTTGGAAGTGACTGAGTGGGAAGACATTTCTCGTCAGCGACCAGCAGGTGAACTCGTGTTAAAACAAAACAACTTGTCCAAGCTCGTTCTAACGTTTACTCGACCAGTTTTTAATGCCGAATATGTGTGTTTTGAAAAAATGGAGAAAAAAACTAAGGAAGTGTCGCAAAAGAGCATTTCAAAGCCAATGTTATGAGTAACGCGACCATGAAATTTCAAGAGTGTAATCTGAAAATGTTAATGATATCGGATATTTTTTGCTAGGACGCTGTCCAGTAAACAGGAAAGCCTTTCTTAGTTACCTTTATAAAGCTAAATAATATATACATGTTAGTGGATACTTCTATGCGAACAACTTCAGCATTAGGCGGTTTTGGCAAGCTGGGATTTGAGCAAAGTGACAAATAGGCCTATCTCAGGCAGGCATCGAGAACAGTAGTTTGGGAAGAATTTGGTCAATAGGGGTGACTGAAAACATGGAAAAATTCAAAAGAAAGATGAGTTTAATTGCTTAACCCGCTAACGAATTAATGAGAATAAGCAGGCTGTAATCTATGAAGACGAAAAAAACCTTGACTTCCATGCCGGCTGACTGATGCACTGTCTGATCAAGTGTTTGAGTTTCGGCCTCAATCCAAGGAACAGCACGGGCAGAAAAGCTGCTTTCCCTTTCTTTGTCGATCTTCAATGCTCTGTTTTCTGTTATCAATGTGTCACTTTGATTTTGGGGAATATGACTAACAACTTCAGAAATGCTAAGTGATGTAGTCCTCGAATGTTTGAGTGTTTTCAGTTTGTCCTCTCTGCAGTATACAACTCCAGTACTCTGCGAGACGTGTATACTGGGAGCACAGCCCATCAGGGCACCGTATCACAAAAAATCACAACCAACAAGGTCCCCACAATATCCTTCGAAGTTTCTGGTGAGTTTTCAGGGGAGTTTGACTTGTTGCTGCCAACTCGAAGCTTGGATTAAAAAGAAGCAGTAGACTACGACAATGGCTGTTTCTGCAAAGAAACCGGTTGAGATCAACAAGCAGGCAAATTTTCTTGATTTAGGCAATGGTCCGATTGCTGATCACGGCCTTCATAATACAGCTAAAACATGTAACATTGACGAATGCATGTTTTGTCACATGTTGCTGAGCTCAAAGTGAGCAAAAACAAACGGCAATTTGCAAGCAACATTTTCTCAAAAAAGACAACCAACATCAAGTGTCTTGCTCCGTCCTTCAATCAGTGTTGACGCATCGATTATTACGCATGTGAACAATTGAATGACTTGCGATTGGCTCGAGTTGATTAGCCTCCAGATTATGCCCCGTGCTTTTCCCGCGTTTTCTCGCGATTTGTCTCTCGGAAATCTATTGCCTAGCTACAAATAACAATCCGAGTGCAGGCCCTATTGATCATGCGCGATAAAAAACATTGTATTTTTAAAACTTATCGTGACAAAAGGATTATTCCATAATGGAATGTCACAACCATTAATACAAGCGTTACAATAACTCCTTTGAACAGTGAGGCTTCAATGAGATATTTATGTATTTGAAATGAGTGGGCCTAAGATTGTCTCATCGACTGTGTAAAAAGTAAGAAATTGCAGGTATGAAAAATCTGATAAAAACAGAGAACAAATTATTCGTTGCTCCTATTAGGCTGAAAATAGATGAAACATCCACATGAACTCCATTTTTGACGAGCCTATCTTACTGCACTGTTATCACTAGAAGCTCAGAATAAATACGACTGAGCTTCAGATAGACTATATGAAAGGAAACACGTGATTCAACAATGATTTACATAGACTATGCTTCGGGGTAAGAGGTCTGGCATGACTCCAACAGGAACGGATTTTAGAGGCAAGTGATTTTATTTTAGAAACAAACCCTTTACTTTCTAGAGAATGATGGAAACCCCCATTTTTATAAATCTATTTTTATCTTTAAAAAAAATGAGAATGAATAAAGCAAAATTTTGCGCAATTTTTAACTATGGCTACCACAATATTTTTTCCTGAATAAAGGCAAAATTTAAGCAATAAAGCAAAATATTTGTGGGGTGTCGCACCCCAAAACGCCCATGGCAAGTCCGTGCCTGAATTCCAAGCTTTGTGGTACCCAGGGTATAACCATGCTAGCTACAAAGATATGGCAAATAAATGCAGCCAGACTGCAGTCTTACCCCAGTTTTAACTAATACACTTTTAGCAAGCTCAGAAGCAACACCAACACCGTTCTCAGGCCCTTAGTCACAAATTTCCAGGGGCTCGTAATTTCAGCACAAAGAACCCTTGGCATCATAAAGAAAATCGATGATGTTTTATTGTTGTAGGGTTTCTGTCCAAGAGTCGTCTGAATACATTTTAAATTTCTGCATTCTACTGCTCCTTGTTTCACCAGATATACTTTCATTCTAGATAGAAAAGGGTTAATGCTACAAAACAAATCATGACTCGATACTCGATGTTTTCATAAAATATTCCAACAAATGCTTCGTCGGGTCATCGTGAAACTTCAGACAAATTTTGTTTGAAGCCTGGTGAGGGGGCAGTGGCCTCCGGCCCCCCTCAATCTACGCCACTGACCTTCGGTTACAATCTAGGCATATCCAATGTTTTTCAGCACTTTATTAAACCAATTTTTTATTTCTTTTCAGCGATTGATAGGTTGATTGGTTTTGCTTTGTGATTTTGTAAAATATCTTCAATCTTGTTATTACACACACAGAAAGTTGTGTCATCTGCATGAAGATATTCATCAGTAAAAATTGATCGTTTATAAAAATGTTCAACAAAATAGTCACTAAGAACAATACTTGAGGCACTCCCATTTTTGTTTCCTACCATGCGTTAAAGGACCGATCTACCTTTGCATTTTGTTTCTAATGTACCAAATAGCTTTTAACTTAAATCTATAGGCAAGTACTTTTGCAATTAGCAGTTCATAATCAATGCAATCGAAAGCTTTCTATAGATCTCTACCAACAGAGCATCGGCATATTCTCCTTGGTCTAAACATAGTGGCCTAAAGCTATCTAAAAGTTCCTTAAAAACATCATTAAGGCATGTTGGATACTATACCCTGCTCTTAACCCACATAAAGTGATGAAACGCTTTGAAAATAGACAAATTGGTTCATGTGTCTTTGAAAGTAAAGGTAGGAGAGAAAGGGACCTAAAGAAGCATCGTCGGATTTGCAAACTGTTGATATATCCTCGTCTTTCATTTCATTTCGAAAAAAGATGGCACGATTTAGGACTTTGCGATCATTGTAGCAAAGCTGGCGTATGTATTCGTGTTGCTATGTATTTCGTTACATTTTGCGAGACAACTTAAAGTTGGACTGAAGAGAGCAAAAGTCTTTTGCACTCTACCCAACTAATTGAAATGTACTGGTATTTTCAGATTTTTTTAATGACATATCACCTTTATATCACTTTTTGTCAGGGATAGATCTACCAGGGGTGTAGGGTTGTGCGACACCACCTCCCCAACATTTTTGTACCCTGGGCGCCAGAGCCTCCGTCATTTAGACTCAGAAATATAGTTCGAAACTAGTCACAGAAATATTTTTCGCTTTCTATAATATTTTATCCCGGAATGGCTCTGGTAACCAGGATAATGTTTTTGTGCCTCTCAGGAAATTTTGCATCCATTCGATAAAAGTCATTTTTTGGTAGTAATCAATATTGCCATAATATACTTAATTATCTTCTAATTTTCTCTATTTTAAAGTTAAAAGCCAAGTTTTAAAAACTGACATTTCTTCCATTTTCCAATGAAGATTTTGGCACCAAAATCAAATTATTATCTAGCACATCCCTCCCCTCCCCCCCAAGGCCACTTGAATTGATGTCATGTGGTTGCGTGCAAAGTGGTTTGTAAAAAGTTGCTAGAACTAGATGTGCCAGTCGGTGGAAGATGGTCATTTATTACAGTGGCGGATTTATGGGGTGCAACTAGGGGCAGTTGTCCCTCCCTCGACGAGTTAAAGCATTGCTAAAACTAGATGTGCTAGTCGTTGGAAGATAGCCATTGGTTACAGTGGTGGATTTAGGGGGGCAACTAGGGGCAGTTGCCCCTCCCTCGACGAGCTGAAGCAACTCTGGCGCCCCTTTTTGGAAATTGTGCACCTCTTTTGAAGAATGAGAATCAGGTGAAAAAGTTTCTGAGACCGATAGGTTAATTCGCTTCAATGATTACCTCAAAGTTTTGTTGTTTATTTCAAAAATGGATCTGAAATTGTTGTATACAGCATACTCTCGTCATCAATTTTTGAAAATTTTTCAGCGCCCTCACTACCAACTACCCCTCCTTCATGTTTTTTCTGGATCCGCCTCTGATTGGTTATCATTCTTCATCTTCCCAAAAACTATTGGGGTTTTACATATGGCCATCTTTGAGATTGGCGCACCGACAGCCAAGAAATAAGTGGTCCAAATTATGTGAGAACACCAGCTTCAGTCTTGTGACTGCAAAGGGGAAATTATTCTGAGGTCTATCTTAGCTGTATTGTCTTAACAATTTGTGTGGAATCCTGGAACAAATATTAATTTGGCAGATGTGGATGATTCACCTCTGTGTGGATTACGATCTGACCTTCTTATTTTGCACGAACAATCGCCCTCGCTTGTGCCAGCACTATGGAAGAGTCAAGCAAAAGACATTGGCAAAAAATTAAGGTATTCCCAGCTAACGTGTCAATTTGCTACTAAAACCATAATTGTTTTACCTTAGAAATTTTCTAGATTTATTTTTTCAGCATTGACATCGATCTTAATCTTAAATACTTTGACATCGAAATAACTCTGTTCAGGGCCTATGTTCACATTGTTCCGCTATGAAAACGGATGAAACTGAAGACGACTATAAAATCTAGATGTGCTTCAATTCCTAAAGTTGGAGACGACACTGCTAACTCCCAGGACCGCGCACCACTCTGAAAGTGGAGGGGCTGAAATGGGTGTGACCGAAATTTTTTTGAGGACACGCCCTATTGAACGCGGGAAAACGCCCCTTTTAGAAAATACTTGCTGATTTCTATTGAATTTTTATTAACCGTCTGGTTCAGAGAAGATATCAATAACTATAAAAATAGATAGAATTAGCCTAGAAAATACATCATTTCATTAAACAAGATGAAACACCTAGAAAAAGAACAAAAATGGTTCCTAGTCAACGGAACTGCTACTACATAGGAGTAAACTATCCAAAATTGCGTTAGAGTAAACCTTCAAATAACTTTCTAGCCTATTATTGCAAAAAAGTGGGGGGGGGGGCTATAGCCCCTGCTAGGCCCATGGCTGCACAGTGCCTGGCTAACTCTAACTAAAAACCAAAATTAGTCATGTCAGTCGTCTGGGGCTCTTTGAAACAAGCTGTATCATTACAGGTTTACTTGAGTGAAAATTGCCTTTCCTCTGACAACCAATCTGGATTTTTGAAACTTTGATCTACGGCAAGATGTTTACTTAAAAGTACTGAGGACTAGCGCAGGTTGGAAAGGTTGTGGGGTTTTTGTTAATTGATCTCAAGCGAACAATATATATTGCTGCTCATCAGGTTTACCTCGAAAATCGTAAGCTTAACGGTGTGCAAATTTTCTTGATTTTAATCTTATCTCTCATTTTAGCAGGTTTAGCAGGATGGATTAAATACTTTTGGATATATACAGTGGGTACCAGAGCTACAGAAATTCGAGCGCGTAAACAGAAGGCCAAGCAGAGAAGCGGAGGAGCGTATAGCTGAGAGGAAAGACGCTCCTCCGCTTCTCCTCGCCTATCTTCTATTTTCGCTCTCTTATTTCTGTGACTCTGGTACCCAGGGTATTTCAGACAAGGACGTCGGGGTGCCATAGGGTACATGCCTTGGTTCTTTGCTTTTTTCAATCTAAATCAATGACCTAGGCCTCATTTAAAACTTTAAGTAGATGATCTAATATGAAGAGCAATGCAAGCAAACCAAAAGGAGCGTTCATATTTCTTGAAAGATTTCAGAGGTGCTACATCTTGTTAGGTAATACATCCTCCCTTTCTACGTACAGCCTTACTTGCAAACAGCCTCGATTTCATTGTTTTGAATCTTAAAAATAGTAGATTGTCCATAATGCTGTATTGTCAGTATAGTCTTTTCTACCAATCAGAAGATGCTGATTGAGGGAATAAATAGAGATCCTAGACTGTCGAGCCCTTGGCTTTGAGGACACAACGTTAGTTTCAAGGTGACAACAACGTTACCCGCTTCTCTCTATTAACTAAACAGACACACCATTCTTTCAATATAAATGATTTAGAGC